AATGCCTCGGAAGATGCTTCATCGCAGGTGGTGACTATAATGTCAAGCATCAAGGCTAGGGCTCTAGGTTGTTCAAAATTCACCAACTTATTGGCCCACCTCCAGACGCAAAACTCCCGACTTACTTGATTTCTTTATAACAAAAGGACTAAGAACTGTAACCTTTGCCGTCAATGCAACCTCTGATCTTTGTTTTGACCACTCCTCAGTGCACATGGTTCTCTCCGACCAGGAAAGACCTCAACTCTTTGCTAATCCCCTTTCTATTGTTTTTAAACCACATATAGACTTAATTAACACAGAACATGATATTTTTGTACATAATTACTAAGACATACCATACCATTACAGCTCACACTACCACCACCTCCTTTCACACCATCACAAGTTGCACAAGAAATTAGACATTTTCCCAAAAGAACAAACCCCTAGTCATAACTTGATAACTGCTGAGGCACTCCAGCAAATGCCAAGGAAAACTCTAATGTTTCTCACCACCAAATTTCCAATACAGTGGAAATACTCACACATAACCATGATTAAAAAGCCAGACAAAGACAATCCTTCTTCATATCGACCGATTAGTTTGCTTCCAGAATGCTCTGAGTTATTTGAAAAACTATTGTACCCACGACTATTACATATACTAACAGACAGACAGATTATTCCTGACCATCAATTCGGATTTCGAAAATTACATTCAATTGCACAGGGTGACTGGCTACATCTCTACAGCACTAGAGCAGAAATTATATGCAACCGGAGTATTTCTGGGTGTCGCCCAAGCATTCGACAACGTATGGCATCAGTATGGCATTTTGGGCGGGGTGGCCGAATAGGCTAAAGCGTGTGCACAGCACCGCTAGTTGCCTGGCAACCGGATAACAGAGATTTGAGATGATATAAAAAGTACGAGTTCGCGTCCCAGTGCCGGAGGGGATTTTAAATTCCCCGCCCTCACCCCCCCGCCCGGGAAAATCCCGTATAGCCTAAAAGGCGAGGTAGGGAACAACAACAAAAAAAAAAGTATGGCATCAGGGGCTTCTCTTCAAGCATAAGACGATATTTCCACATACCTACTACTTAATTCTTCATTCCTTTCTCTCAGACAGATTTTTCTCCATTTGACATAGTCAAGGTCTACCCTTAATTTGACCAATTTTAGCTGGTGTACCTCAGGGATCAATTCTAGCCCCACTACTGTACATCACATACACACACAATATTCCTCAAAGTATCCACCCTCTTACAGCAACCTATACAGACGACACTGCTATCATTACCAGCCAGAACAATCCTACAGAGGCATCACTTAACATACAACATCACTTACAAATAATACTCGATTGGTGAAAAAATTTGGAAATCAAATAAATTATCAAAAGTCAAAACACATCACATTTATTCTAAGACCAGAAACATCCCTTCCTGTATAATTAGACAACATACCGATTCCACAAACAGACAGAGTACAATACCTAAGCCTTACATTCGATAGGAGAATGATATGGGGTACACATGTAAAGAAAAAAAATGAATCACATATAATCTAAGACTAAAATTGTTACATTCACAGTTAAGACGACATTCCAAATTAAAAACAAGACAGAAACTAGGTATTTACACATATCTATTAAAATCTCTTTGGACTTACGAACTACAAATATACGGAATTGCAAAACCAACACACATAAAAAAATTTCAAACTTTTCTACGACTAATCACTCAAGCAACATGGAATGTGAACAACCACACCGACTTACACGTTCCAACAGTCAATGAACACATATGAACGTACTACAAACGATTTCATAATATGTTAAATGGGCATTCCAACCAGCTGGTAAAAGAAATGGCCACAACTAGTATGCCTGAGAACTCCAGAAGACGACTGAAAAGGGTCGGGATGAGGGATCTACTTAAATAATGTTTTAGTAAATAAAAGCCATGAAAGATATACCGCTGGGTATTGCTATTCCTCGTGCCTACCAAGCCTTTTTATTTTATTTTTTATTATTATTTTTTTTTTCTCATGACTATGCCAGCACATCTGCTGATTGTCAATAGTTGTAATTGACAGGTGCGAATAAATAAATGAATGTGCAAAAAAAAAATTTGAGATCAATTTTTCTTCAAAAAGTTTATATTATTTTAACCCGAATTACTAGACTCATAAATGCTAAATGCTCAAATAATATAAGAATGACTCTCACAAAAATATAACAAAATATAAGATTGCCAAAAGGAGATGGTAAGGTCTTCATTCTAAGAGGCACAGGGAGGTAAGCAGCCCCTGAGTCTTACATAAGACCACCAGGTTAGGGGTAGGGCTGGTATCCACATCTCATTAAAAAAACACCTTAATGCCATAATTATTAACCTGTATACACCAACTGACCACAGGGGCTAGCTGATGTGCACAGCTAGTGGAGATTAACGCTCAACCATTTCCTAAATTCAGTACACTGCACTAACAGCCTCAGAACAATACACTTTATATTGACTCAAACACAAGGACATATATAGTAAACACCCTAGGGTCTTCTCCCCTAGGAATGCCCATCGGCCATTGGGTATAAAATGGCCTCAGTTGGTCTAAGGTAGTGGGGCCTTCTTTACTGGGCTGATCACCTGTAAAGGAGTAAAAAAGATTCAAAGAACCACATATGATCTCGGAACAAACGGACTGTCTAAAAGGAAACAACGTGGCACGGAACATGACCTTGGAACTTGGAATATAAAATCATTAACAGGAAAAGAAGTCGACCTGGTCGAGGAAATAAAGGAGTATAAGGTGGGTATATTGGGAATGGTTAAAGTGAAGAAGAAAGAAAGAGGAGAGTTGGAGCAGGATGACGGGTATGTCCTGATATATGCAGGTGTAACAAAGGGAGTTCGTGATGAAGATAGAGTAGGGATAGCAATGTCTCCTGCAGTATATAGCGGAGTAGAAGAATGGGAGTCAGTCTCCTCCAGGATTATAGGTGCAGATCTCCAAGTGACAATAGGCAAGATAATAATCATCCAACTATATGCTCCTACAGAAAATGCTGGGATTTTGGACAAGGAATTGTTCTACTGAGATCTGTACATAGCGGTTAACCAAAGCAGAGACAAAGGAAGGTTAGTAATTCTATGTGAAGATCTTAATACAAGAACTGGTTGGGAATATAGAATCTCCCAGCGATTGATTGATTTCTGCATCGAAAACAATTTCATAATAGGCAATTCTTTCTATCCACATAAGAGAGTACATAAAATTACTTTCTTAAGCACAATTGGAAATAGTGTCATTGATTATTATATATATGATTTAGTGATACGATAATATTTCAGAAATGTGAAATGAATAAGAGGAGCAGATAGAATCCTGTTATTAGTCATGAATACCAGAATTATAATAATCCACAAGGCTCAGGCTAAAGTTTACCAAGCAATAAAAGTGCAAACTCTGGACAATCAAGACACGATAAAACTATACTCTGCCAAGTTAGAAGAAAGCCTCGGAGTATTTTTGAACTGCCAAGGAAACCTGTGGTCTACAAAAATTCACCAAAAGAGCCAAACATAAAGAATAGTAGGACAACAGTATATAATTAATTATAAGTAAAAAAAAAACAAGCTTGGAAGTCCTACCAACTGAATAAGACGCCTGATAACTTTTCTCAGTATAGAAATGCGAGAAATGGGGCAAAAGCAGATAAAAAAAAAGAAATCGGGTAAAGCCTTGATAAAAATCACAGAGAAAACATTAACAAATTTTGGTGCACTGTGAAATTCTTGAAAAGCAAAATAGCAAAGCCAGTGAGAAATGTAAGAGACAGTAACGGTGAACTACGGACAAAATCATGCTTAATATTAGATAGATGGCATAGGCACTACACCAAGATTCATATCTACAAATCAGTATACCTCCCTACTCTTACCTACGGGAGTGAAAGCTGGGTCATGCTGGACAAGCAGATAAGCAGAATCACAGGAGCAGAATTGAAGTACTTACATGAGTCACAGGAAAGACCAGAAAATACCGTGTAAGAAATAAAAGGATAAGGGAGGAGCTGAAAATTCCTACACTAAAATCCAACCTTAAAAAAAACAAGTAGTTCGGTCATGTTTGTCGAACGAGATAGAACCCAGAAAGGTTGTGGAAGCTCGACCTACTGGCAAGAGACCACGCGGAAGGCCTAGGATTTTATATGAACAGTATATCCAAAGGATTGGAGAAAAAACGCTCCAACAAATGAAGCAACTCTACAGGGACCGTGAGGCTTGGCAGCATTGGATTGAGGCTCCTTCATGATAGGTATGGCACAAGGAGGAAGATAAAGATGATGAGTTGAAGGATGATTGCTACAATCAGTTGTGGCCTAGGGTCATAAATATGACAAAAAGTTATTCATAGGTGACTTGCCTGTTATAGATAGTCGCGCTATTAGTACCTGGAGTTAAAACTTCTACAACATCAACGGGAACAAGAATATAATTCCTCTCTACCTTCTGTTGTACTATAATATTCACTTTACGTGAAATATTTCATTTCATATGCAGTATCACTAATGTTGTTAGCTCAAACTATCACTTCAAAAAGTTGATTGATGCAGACAGCAACTTCTCCATGGAGAAAAGGAAGATATTCTGCAAGTTTTAAACAAAAACAAACAATGCTCTCCAGGAATTATGGATTCAAAGAGATAAAAAATTAAGCTGCCAGTCTGGGAGCAATGGAAATCTCCCAAAGCTTTATAGATGGATATATACAGTATTGTCAATTCTTCCCAAATCTAGGAATAGCGCAAGGCATACCCCTCAGTGATCATCTAGGAATAGCAAAATGCAACCAGTAACTCATTCTGTTAACATTCAGCACTACTTTAACAAATTAAATCACCTTTCAATCTTTCAATAGATACAAATTTTAAAAAAACTCATAAATCTAAAAAAATGTATTTCATAACATTGCACTTATTGAAGTAAAAAGAGTAATAAGAAAAATAAAATACCTCCATAAAGTTGAACAATTTTAACTTGCTTAGTTGTACCGTAAACATCAACAACTGCAAACAATGGACCATCTTGATACGGAATATCCTTGGAACATGGGCCTTGATCTTCACCATTAATGATAAAATGCATTTCTGCTGTACCACCATTTGGTGTTATCCTTTTAGGAACATAAACTACGCCAATTCTACTGCCAACATCCGTAGGTAAAATTTGTTGAGATGGATCCAAATGGGCCGGTCTCAATGCACTCCTTGGTATTATACCTCTTGAAGTATGAACATTCGTATCATCACCCAAATAATATTTTGGTTCAAAAGAATTCCTGTGGGAAAAACCAGTAGAAAATTCATATATGTTGGTCTTGGTAATAGCGAAAATCCATGAAGTGCATAAATTAGTAAGATCTGGAAGAGCATAGCGCGGCAGCCAACCACTATGGGCCATAATATCAGGGTTCATTCTAGTAAGACCTAGCCTCATATATCCACTCCATCCTCTTTCATTCTTTTCGATTTCGACTAAAAATATTTCACCAGGCAGTAAAGGTTTTTCACTGAAAGTTAAAGCATTAGCAAAACTAGATTTTCTGTAGGCAACAGTATTGTTATCTTGTAATACAATGTTATCACCATGATAGGGATGAAACCTACTGACAATTTTTCTTCCATTGGTAACTTCTTCCATTCTGAGGGTTGAAATGTTTTTGATAGTTCATTAAAATATTATTAATCAAAAATGCATTACACATGAAAATCAAATCACAACACACCACACATATGTCAAACTTTCCTTCACATTTATTATAACACAAAACTGGAAGAAACTATATAAGTGGAATGACACAAAAATTTAGAACTTGAATATAGAACCTGGTCTAAAAAAAACAAAATATAGACGATACAAAATACTTTTTACAACAGAAAATGACATTGACAAGTTAATCTCTTCATCATGACTCAAAAACCGAAATACTTTTATTTTGAAAACAGTGATAACCACAGATAATCAGTATCATAGAAAATCAACTGAACTCAACAGTTTATAACCTATCACTCAAAAACCAAGAAAAAATAAAACAGAAATTATTAAATAATCATGGGCAAGTTCATTCCAAAGAGATAAACTAGCATTAAATGTTATTAAACGGAAACAAAAAAAAAAAATCAGTTTTCAGTGTCCACTATTTTTTTCATTCGAAAGTCAAACCTGCATTGGATATAATGTTTAAATGGATTTTGTATCCCAGTTCTGTGGAAATTAATGAAAACAAAAATGTATTCCGTTCCCAAATAAACTTTTTTTTTATTGGATAGTATTACATTACAAATAAACTTAATTTTACAAAAATATTGAAATCATAATGTTTAAAAATCTACAGTTATAATCAAGAAATTTTCAACTTTCCAACTAAGAGCTAAATATACATTATTACAGTACATAAAGCCCGGTAATTAGAACCGATTTTTGTGAGTCAATGGATCAGACTATTCAACTTACAACCACCTTAGATTAATAGTCCTTAGACATTAAAATTAATACTTATGTTCACAAAATTACATAGATCACTTACGCACAGCTATGAAAATAATAATTGGGAGACGTAATGAAATTTAAAATGAAAATAAGTAAAGAGACAAATGAGATAGTCCAGGATGGCGGTCACAAAAAGACTAAAATAGTGAAACAACTATTTTATTTTAAGCTAATGTTTCGACCCGACTTTGCAGGTCTTCTTCAGAGCTAGAAGGAACAAAATACAAAAGGGTATGGAAAAATTAGGAAGTTAATATTTAGATAAAAAAGTATAAACAATGTGAATAAAATTATAAACAATGTGAATAAAATTATAAACACTGTGAATATTATTAGAATTCCTGTGGGAAAAAACCAGTTGAAAATTCATAAATGTTGGTATTGGTAATAGCGAAAATCCATGAAGTGCATAAATTAGTAAGATCTGGAAGAGCATAGCGCGGCAGCCAACCACTATGGGCATAGTGGTTGAAGTAGATAAAGATATTAGGAATAATAAACGATATTGTCTCGGCCTTAATTTCCATAACAAACTTTCTTTCCTTTTCACCAACTTAAAGAATCCTATACTTTTACATCGATCTAATTTAGTTTACAGGATACCTTGCTCTACTCTTAATTGTAATAGTTCCTATATTGGTGAAATTAAAACAATCTCAAAATTCGTATTTCCCAATAAAAAAACATCCATAACTTCCCGGAACCTTTCTGCCTCATAACCATCACACCAACCCTCAACCTGAACTGAAGAAAAATCGTTAGTAGGTTGCATCCCTATTATGGTGATAACATTGTATTACAATATAACACTGTTGTCTACAGAAAATTTAGTTTTGCTAATGCTTTAACTTTCAGTGAAAAACCTTTACTGCCGGGTGAAATATTTTTAGTCGAAATCGAAAAGAATGAAGTGAATGGCTGCCACCCCATGCTCTTCCGGATCTTACTAAGGCTTGGTATATAGGACTACATGAGAACGGATAGAAAAAGGCCGGTAATAAATCCGTCATGATAACAAGGCTACATAATAATGGAACTTGCTACTGAATAATTTTTTTCCTAAATCCAAATGGGCAATCCTCAGGAACCTCTCCTTCATTACGTCCAAGAGTTGTACACTTTATACAGTAAATCCGAACAAGCTCAATTCCTTTTTTGCAGACCGTCTCCCTTCTGTATTCACATCTGACGTCTAACGTTTTTTCATCACTGAAACCTCCTTTGACCCAGATATGTTTTACCTTCTTGATATTTCTCCAACTGACCTACTCTTTACTATCCTCAAATCCGAAACCAACTGCTATGGTACTCACCAAATACCTGCGAAAATCATCAAACTCTGCCTCCCAACCTTACTTTCTATACTTTTACAAATCCACAACTTTACCCTCCAAAATTCTATTTTTCCTAAAGTCTGGAAAAAAGTCATTTCCGGCCAATAAACAAAGTTCCTACTCCTTTATAAGCTGCCGACTTCAGACCCATTTCCATTTTATCCAAGCCTCTAGAAAGATTAATTCACTCACAGTTGAATAACTTTCTCGAGCAAAACCTTGTCCTAAATACTTTACAATCCGGTTTTTGTCCTCCAATACTCCACCCCATCTGCCTTGTTGAAGATTATCCAACACCTCCAATCATCCATAGATAAACAGAAAATCTCTATCCTAGTTCTTTTCGGCTTCTCAAAACCTTTTGATTCAGCCAATCATAATATACTCCTTTACAAACTCCAAAGCCTACCCATATCGCAAAGCGTTCTAAAATGGTTCCTCTCCTTCTTACTCCATCGCTCACAGACAGTTGTTATTCCAAACAAATCTCCTTCCTCGTCCCTTGAATTATCAAGAGGTGTTTCTCAGGGCTCCTCACTTTCTCCGACCTCTTTCTCCATTTATATTAGCGACCTTCCTGACTCCATTCATCACTCCCGATATCACTTATATGCATTCCATCTCCAAAATTACCTATAATTCCAATCTTCTGAGATGCCTGAGGCTACTTGAAAACTGCAAGAGGATATTGACTGTATCCACTAACGGATCCAGGATTTAATTTTTGGGAGGAGGGCTTCAGCTCGAAATATTATTTTTTATGTATAGATTAAGATAATTACTTCGGAAGAAAGAAAGAAACTAAGTACCTATATGAAATGATGTTTAAGTGATTCTTTAACGTATTAAATGTAATTAGACCAACAATAATACTTTTAGAAATATTTTTTTTCACTAAACATGTTTTTTTTTGTTCTTTCCTACCTCGCCTTTAAGGCTATACGGGATTTTTCCGGGCCGGGGGGTGAAGGCGGGGAATTTAAATTCCCCTCCGGCACCGGGACGCGAACTCGTACATTTTAAATCTTCTCAAATCTATAATCCGGTTGCCAGGCAACCCGCGGTGCTGTGCACACCCTTTAGCCCATTTGGCCACCCCGCCCCCCCCCTCATTAAACATGGTTATATTTTACCATTTTAGGAGGGCTTCGGCCTGTAAGTAATTTTGATCAGAACCTCTCTTGGAATAACCACATTTCCCACATTACCCGAAAATCCACAACTACCCTTAAATTACCCCTACGATTCCGTGAGTCTATTCCAAAAAAACACCAGACAGATCCTTGTAACATTCTTTGTTTTCCCCCACTTCGACTACGGTTGCTTGGTGTATTGAGATCTGTCCACAAGACTGGAGTAGAGACTGAAGAAAATCACGAATTGCTTCATAAGATTCATCTTTGGGATCACCTACTTTCCGGCGGCAATTCCTTTTTGGTAATTTCTTTTTCCAAGTCCTCAGAACCGAAAATTCTCCCTACAACCTAGAACTCCTTACCCTACGTTACTCTATCCACTCTCTTCATACCAGACCTCAACCTATAGATCTATAATGCAAATCCTTCGTCATTCGTGCAACCTCCTTTTGGAACTCCTTACCTATCTCGATACATCAAACCAATTTCACAAATTCCATTAAACAATTCTTATTCCTCCACCTACTACACATTTAAACTTCTTTTTTCTCTTCAAACTTAGAGTTTTTTAATCTTGTTTTTTATATTTTCCGTCTGCTATTGGTAACAAGAGAAATTTTAAAAAAAGTATGGCTTGATACTAAAGTAGCAATTAAGTATGTTACATACATAATTCTGATTCCCATAGATTGTGAAATGTCTAAATATACCTTAATGTTACAACACCATGTTGATTTATATTAAGGCACAAAAATACAGATCAAAAAACATCTTAATGTTAGAAATGGATATTATGATAACTTGCTTGCCAAATCCATATTTTAAGATCATTCTTGTGAACAAGTTACAAAAGTAACTTTTCACAAATGAAAATTTAAATTAGATTTTTAAAAAATGGATATATAATGTCCATGAAAAATCTGGTGCGCGCAACACACAACTTTCACTTACCGATCTACTTTGAATAGAAACTATTTTCTGGCAATGTTGGGCTATTATAAAATTTTTTGAAGTGCATTTTAAACGGAGCTAAAGCTTAAAGCTTACTGATAACAAGTAATTAAGACCATTATAAATACAAAATGTCTATTTAATATATTGACGACAGGCAATAAAAATCAACTCACTCCATCTGCTTTTATAAACAACACAACTTTCTTTGCTTTTATAAACCACAGAATGACTAACTCCAATTTCAACATTTTTGAGCGATGTCATTTTAGTGATATTTTTAGTTGAAAAGTTATCTATGCAGACAATGAGTAAGTTGATTCCGGATGTGGTGATTGCAGCATTGAAATATAGAACTGAGAATAAAGGTATAAATTTAGGTACTTATTTCTTATGAAAGATGTTCTTAGGAAAGATACTTTATTAAATATCTGTAGAAAAAAGGTTTTTTTAGTCTCAACAATTAAAAAAGTATATTTTAAATTTATCCAAATTTTCGCCTCTTCAGGGAAAAAACTAGAGGCCATATCTTTCCTCCTAATTATCCGATTTTAACCATTTTTGTTTGTTTTTTTATTAAATTTCATAAACTTTTAAAAAACCATACAATATCAACAAAAAAGCGTATACTTTCTGAGTTATTCGGAATTTAATTTTACCATCCCTCGTAACTTTTTTTCCAGCTTCTTTTCGTTGAAGTATGTTATATAGATAAATTTAAAGGGTGTCGAGAAAATGACTTTAGCGAAGTTTCATTGAAATCGATACATTCGTTTAGGCGCTACAGTCTATAGCAACGCAGGTTTTTCTGCATTTTTTTTTTTTTTTCTCCTTTATTAACTTATCAAAAGTTAAATTTAGCATTTTTTTTTTCACAACTTTTAATAATGAGAGATAGTTAATTATTTGAAATGAACCATATTAAAGGTATTTTAGAGGAAGACGTATATGAACATTGGGCATTTAAGCCCTGTAAAGTTAAATCAACGGGGATAAGACTTAAATGATATTAAATACCACTTAATTATACAATGATATTCCGAGTTTAATCAAAATCGTTAAATCCGTTTTTGAGAAAATTGTAAAAATCTGTTTCAGCGTTCATATAAAGTGGCACTTCCGGTTAGCCGATTTTAACAAAAAAGTTGCTGTCACATCCGGCACATATACAAACCTTGAATACTTAATATCAGTTTAGTACTACTTTTCGTTTATGAGCTAGACTGTTAACACACACACAGACACATAGACACAAAGACCATTTTGCGACACTTGGTTATTTGGACTCAGGGGACCTCAAAACATGTATTTCCGTTGAAAACTGAGATTCGAAAATTTTCACGATCGCAATACTTACCCTTACTATATATACGTAAGTGAAAGTAAAAAAGAAAGAGAATTGGAATATTCGATAGAAATATATACAAAGTATATCAAACAGTATAATGGTCATCATTCCAAACATTGAACATTTTCCAATACCTTTAAAAATTATCAGTTTGAACTACAAAAAAATACACACACACACATATATATATATATATATATGTGTGTGTGTGTGTGTGTGTGGGCTCCTACGGAACTTAACATCCTTATCCCTCTTTATGTTGGGATGATGTTTGGCATTTATTTCATACTTCGAAATATTGGACACTACATACCTCATTGCTTTCTGACAGTAGTGCACTCTGTCTGCGCGGTTTGAAAATAAATCTATAAACTTTGGGCATGGTTTTTGTCATGTTTATCTATTCGGTTTTTGGCAGTTTTGAAGTTAATTGACTGATTATCATCTAGTAGTATAAGTTAAAAATTAGTTTTGGCTATATTCCGGTTTTAGGATTTGTTGATTTGATTTACTGTTTGGTGCTGCTGTTGAAAAAATATTAAATATAATTTCTTAGGTTTTGGTTATTTCTTGAACCTTCTTTTATCATGTTAAATTATAAATAAAACTTTTTTCCTATTTGGTCAATTTCAGAATTAGTTTCTTCCACCATTTTTTTTTTTAAAGCTTTAGGTAAGTGTAGTGTAATTCTGCTTAAAAGGAATTCCTCATGTTTTATGAATTAATGTTATTACATACTTGGTTTTGAATCATGATATTATAATAGCCGCTCAAATAATTATTTTAGCAGTGTATACTATTTGTTATAAAATTTGAATGTATTATTTATTTTGTACAAGGATCTATTGGAAGTTAATTATAAATTCTCTTATTTTAATATTATTAGTATTTTGTATAATTTATTTGGGTGGCTCAATTAATGCAGTTTACATTGTTTATCTATTATTAATTAGCGGTCATAACCTATGCAGTTCTATATTCATGGTTGAATTCTTATATTAGGTTATTATAAAAGTATATTTGCATGTCGAGATTTAGTTTATCCAGCCTTTTTTTTATTCTTCTATACACCCAACTCATAGTCATTTTTATTTGTGGCAGCAGTCAGTTACTCGTTTTATTGAAAGCTGTTTTGTTGTTGTTTGTGGTACATATCATGTCATGTTAAATACCTCAATTTTCGAAAATTTCTTCATCTTTATCATTTGACCAATAATGTCCCTTTATTAAAAAAAAAAAAAGTTTACAAACTTCATTTTTGTTTGATAGCATTGTTAAGCCTGGTAGATGATTTTAGTATAAATGATTTGAAAATTATGACTCCCTGCACTTTTTCAGATTATAAACCATTCAGACTTTATATAACAATAATCATGAAGTTGAATCAAATTAAGGTATTAGGGATTAAATTAATGTAAGAGATGAATAGATAAAACAGTACCTATAGAACAACATAATAATGTATTAACTTAAATTATTAGATAAAATGTTGAATTTTACTGAAAAATAACAAAATAGGTATATTTTTGCCGCACACGGCTTCCAGGCGTTTTTGGGTGATATTTATTCATCTAGCACTACAATCAATTATTTACATAACAGAATTAATAGGATTGGAAATTAATAGAATTAAGTTAGTATATGTATATGAGTATCCGTATATAGTGATAAATAAAAATAGCAACAGTAAAATGTAAAGAATTTTTATGGTCTAACCGTTCTGCTGGCCCTAATGATAAAAAAGTTTCCCAACTACAGTATATTCCATATAATTATATTGACTTCTGTGAAATAGAGAAGTTAACAAATGTGTAACTATTTTTCTCATATTAATTGTCAAAATCCTAATATATTAACTTAGGTTTATCTACTCGTATATGTAATCCATTTTTATTTTAGAAATATAATAAGGAAGAATATTTTGTACGTACTGCTATTTATATTTTACTGTTTTGTCTTTCTTTTTTTTTCATTTAGTTATTTCAGTAAGTTAATTTTATTTATGTATCCAGCCTAATTTGTTATCTTTTTTTTTTTTAAATATAACCTTACCTACCAAAAGACTTATGTTCTTGGCTAATTTTGCCATTTCTAGTGCGAGCATGTGATCTTGGCTCACTTTTCACCCTAAGCGTTATAGTACCATAATTATGTTTTGTTTAACAACTTTTTAAAATCAGATATATTTCTTTTGGTTATTTATATAAAAATTTCCAGAACTGATTTTATCAATTAATTTTTTCTTTTATCCATAAAACTTCTTATTTTTGTTTATAGTAAAATTGTTATTTATGGATTACTCTGCCAATCTTTATATCAAATAACTACAATTTCTTACTGAACTCAACCTTGCCTCTTTGTATTGATTCTATCCATATTTCATTATTAGTACTGTAGTACTTCTGAATAATTGAGACAAATAAATATTAACAGTAAATGTAAAACTATTATTTAATGACATTGATAATCTTCAAATGTAAAATGTATTTACAGCCTTTCCTCAAATGAAATGTTGTTTTCACCACCTAAATCAATATCTTCAGAACATAAAGATGTTATTCATGATGTGGCTTTCGATCATTATGGTAGAAGAATGGCGACTTGTTCAAGTGATCAGTTTGTAATGGTAAAATTAATTATTTTTTTACTTATATAATTTGTCAATATTGTGACAAACTCTTCATATCTCATAATCTGTATCCTATTTTATGGCTTAAGCAATGTGTGAAATCATTATTTTAAATATATTAATTTATAGTTGATAAGTAGCTCCATGTTTCAATTATTCCTCACCAGACCTATTGTTTCTGACCTAACTTAACTTTCTTTAAGGGCATATGAAAAAAAATCTCAGTATGAAGAGAAATTTACTGATTGTGTGAGATCCTAGCCTATTGGTGGGTCCAGGGGAGGGGATAAGGAGAAATTTACCCTGTCATTATAACCATTAAGAAACAAAATATGGTTGTATATTTCTCCAAAATTATATGATCACCCTGGTAGTTCCTTTCCCCAAAACTACCTCTGGAACAACCCTGTCCAGGCCAGATCTGCTCCCTTGATCATTCCTTTTGAATGGCCACTGATGATCACTTCAAATGGAATGATGTAGTGGAGTGACTAGATTTCTTGGAATAAAACAGTTGGAAAGGGCCTCAATGATGATCACTTCACTTCATTGTTCCATTTTTTACAGTGATTCTCGCTTCGAGGTCTTTTTCCCAGCTATAATATAACATTAAACAAATTGTAGATATTAATTAGACAAATTATTTCTAAAAATTATATTAACAGTCAGAAAGGTGGAATTAGCAACTTAGGTATCCACAATATCCAATTAGCCATTTAAGCCCTGTTACAGAACATCAATGAGAATAAAACCTAGATTATATTAAAAACTGCTTAATTTTACACTGATATAATGAATTTAATCAAAATCGTTAGAGCAGTTTTTTTAGAAAATCGTAAAACTGTGTTAAATTGATAATGTAAAGTGCCACTTCTGGTTAGCTGATTTTGACGAAAAAGTTGTTGTAACATCCCAGGCATATAAAAACCTTAAATATGCAATTTCACTTTCGCAAGACTTTTCTTTTTTGAGCTAGACTGTTAACACACACGCACACAGACCATTTTGCAGGACTTGGTTATTTGGATTCAGGTGACTTCAAAACATATATTTCCGTTGAAAACAGATTAAAAAATTTTTACGATCGCGATTCTTTCCTTTACTATATATTGTATATATAGTTAAGTGAAAGTAAAATATTGGTTTAACTTATGTTTTGAATATTTAAAGTCTAATAGTATTTAAATATACAGTGTGAATAATATATCTGCAATAACATGAACTTAAAATAATTTAATGCTTGCAATCTTAAATCATGGATTCATTCCACCGCTTTAATGATAATGTCCCTGAAAGGGACATCAGTTGATTATTCCTAACCTTAGATTAAAAGATTAATTTGATATTTTATTTTGTGGATTAAAACATTTTTCCAATTAAATTGTTTTAATTTATCTTTTTAGTGTAGAATTCATTAAAAAAACTCCAATGCCCTTATATAATTTATAAATTACTTTTGAATATTTAAAATGATAGATTGAGGTCTTAAGTATAATTTTATCTTTTAAGTAAACCACTTATCAGCATTTTGTAATTTGTCAATTAATATTCTAGTGTTCTTATACCACCTTTGTTTAGATTCAATATTCTTATAAAATCACTTTTTAGCTATGCCAGATGTACTTAATCTATTATCTGTTTTGTTTTCTCTTACAATTCTTAATTTAAGGTTTGGGATAAAGAGCAGGGTGATGATAATTGGAAAAAATCAGCTGAATGGAAAGCACATAGTGGTTCAGTTTGGAAAGTTGCCTGGGCCCATCCTGAATTTGGGCAAGTTTTAGCAACTTGTTCTTTTGACCGAACTGCTGCAGTATGGGAAGAAATAGGTAATGGTATTAATATTAATGAAAACATTGCTTATTAATTTATAAATTTGTATGCATGTAATTTATGTGCATGTGAGGCTTAAGAAAGTTATAGCAGGCTTCAAAGTGACCTATTTTCAGGATTCGATTAGCAACAACAGCTAATGCTGATGGCTCTGCACTTATTGCAGAAAATTATGATAAGATTGTAATATTTTATTGAAAACACCTCTGTATATTCTTTTCCACTTCTACCTATTGATGGAACCTTCAAAAGCATATTAAGATATACTTATATAATATAGATTCAATTTTGTAGAAACTCTCAAATACCAGGTGGTCTTTGCCCTAATAAAACATGTTTTGGCACTATCAGACTAGTTTTGAATGACATGTCAAATAACATGGATTAGAAGGTAGAGTCTTGTAATGTGGCATATGGACTAATTTTGATGATGAGTAGTTTATAATGGAATGAAGTTCTTGAACATATGCAAGCGTCTGGGGAGTTATTATAATCACTTGATTAGGACCTCAATAGAAAATATGCCCTTTATGAATTGTTACACCTGCCTTACCTTTTCTGTACCTTTTAGCAATTTGGGCAAAGCCAACATCCTGACTCCACAGTGCCTTAATGTCAGCAAGAAACTTCAAGACTACCTATGCATAACATTAAATATGTCAATTTCAGTATCTTTCCTGTACGTAATAAAGTTACGCAAAATCAAGCACTGAAACAAAAAATTTATTAATATTTTCATTCCTCACAATATACCTAGTTCTGTCATAAATACTGTTGCAAAAGTTGAACTTTGTTTACATCCTTGGGTATTATGTAGATAATCCTTACCTTTATCAGGTTATTTTCTTAACACATCAAGATAAAAATCCCAATTAGTTTTTATTTTTCTTTCGCTCAGTTAACATGGAGTGGGGTGATAAAGAAAATCGAATAGCTGTGATCGCCTTACACAAAGTTAGAAAATGTAGGTCAGAGATTTTCAACAGTTTGAAACCTTTGGGTATCAGCTGTATGTTCATGTACCGCACTATAAAGAGATATAAAGAGACCCTATCTGTATGTGACAGACCTCGACTAGGCCGTTCCCTCACTGTGAGAATGGTAAATGCAGTGAGAGCAGTGGCTGCTTGAATCAGAAGAAATCCCATTGGAAAAAAACCAATCATGTCTCGGAAATGGGAATCTCTGTCAGATCAATGTCTCGCATAATAAAAAGTGACCATTTCGAAGAATGACAGGGCAAAGGCTGACCAATTCCCTAAAAAAAATTAGAGTGGATAGATGCAAAATGCTCCTTGGCCGTTACCCCAACAGTCTTCATCGAAAGATTTCGTTTAGCAACAAGAAAATTATTACAATTGAAGAAAAATTTAATCGCCAAAATGATCGTGTGTACGCATACAGCTCTAAAGAGGCCCAGGAAGTCATTAGAATAGTGGAAAGAGTTCATCACCCTTCCTCAGTGATGGTTTGATGGGGAGTTTGCTTTGATGGCACCACAAAGCCCCATTTTTGTGAAAAAGGGACATTTTGAGTAATTTATTTTTTATTTTACTCTCTTTAGATATATATTTTATTCTATAATAATATTTTTGAAAAAATTAATTTTTCTGTTGAAATCTGTATGTATTTCCTTGTAACAATATTTATGACAGAACTAGGTACTATCTGCCTTTGCTAAATATATGAAAATAAACCATAAGATGACCTTTTGCTGAAAACTTAAATGGCTGTTGCTATTAGGGGTACTGGAAAGTAATGTTGTTTCGGAGCATATCACTGTTTGATTGTCATTTGACAGCTCATTGTGTACATCTATGTCATGGCAAAGACATTCTAAGGTTATAGTGACTTCTTTAGTTGCAAATAATTAAATTACATTTTTTTTTGTTGCAATTTTTGGTGAAATGGCCAGCCAAACACCAGAAGAGGTACATATCCGGCATTGCATGCTTTTTGAATCTCACAAGGGTAGCAACCCAACAGTTGCTACGAAAAAACATGATGATTTTTGATGTTTGTCCAAATGCATGAGACATTTGTAAATGCCAACGGTGGTTTTTAAGTTCAAATCAGACATATATCAATCAGGAAGATCAACAATGTTAGACAATGATGTGATAAGGGCAGAAGTCGAAGCAAATCTGTGTCAGACAATTGAGACATTGTCAGTCAACAGCTTTAACCAAACTTGGTCGCTGATTCAAGAACATTTGCAGCAGATTGGAAACCACCATATGCAACTTATAGCTTCAATGGCACAATAAAGAAGCGTTTTTTGATCGCTTGATGGGTGGAGATGAAAAATCGATCCTGTATGATAATCCAAGAGGCAGTGGTTCTCACTTCTCAAAATAATCACCACGAAGTCCTGCTAAGCCAGGTTAACACAAAAAAGCCCTTTTGTGTGTTTGGTTTAGTATTCCCCACGCATTTTTAAGTGCTGAAATCTGGACAAACTGAATACAGACCTTTATTGTGAACGATTGGATTGTGTAGATCAATCTTTTATAAAAAAAGTGGCCAGCGATTATCAACAGAAAAGGTGTTATTCTGCAACATAAAAATGCAGGATCACACTGTGTAAGACGAATCCTAGAAAAAAATATGAATTGGTTTGGGAGGTGCTGCCTCATTCACCATACTGGCCCTATTCTGTACTATCAGATTTTCATTTGTTTGGATCTTTTAAAAAATTTGATTGATGTCCAAATTGCCAACTATATATATATTTTTCACAAAAACCAATTGATTTTTATCGATCCTGCATTGAAAATTTGTACACTGGATGGCAAAAGATTGTTGATAATGAAGATGATTCCATCAATGACTGAAAATAAAAGCTTCTGTAAAATTTATGTTTTTGAATTTAATGTAAGAAAACGACATTACTTTCTGGTCCCCCTAATATGAACAACATAAAAGTATGAGGATCTTGAACTTCAATTCAATTTTATTGACTTAAAATGGAAAATTGGGGAATGGGATAACTCAGTGAATTACGCACTGAGATCCTATCTCCTGGTCCCGGGATGTGTTAGATAATTATTTATTTTCTTACATAAATATACTGTTAGATCGACTATGGGGTTACAAGATGCTTTGAGGGCACAACCAGCCTGTATAAAGTAGGTACCCTTAATCAATTGAATAATTTAGGGAAGAAAAACCTGCCAGTTGAGCATAAATATCCATAAATTTATTCACCTTACTTACTTACTATGTAGTGCTGCAGCCCAGAGTGGGCCTTGGCTTCCTGAATTATAGCATGCTAATCATCTCTATTGCTCGCTCTTTCCTTCCAGTTTCTCATTCCCAGTGTTCTAAGGTCGCTCTCAACATTTTGTAGCCATCTTTTCCTTGGTCTTCCCTTCTCTTTTTGTGCCATAAATTGTGGAGAACAATGCCCTATAAGGCATCCTGCTGTAGTCCATTCTAACCATTTGGCCAAACCAATCCATACACCTAATTTTAACGAAATTAACTATGTTGGTGCTATTATATAATTCATATAGCTCCGCATTCTATACCTCCACACACCCTCTTCACAAACAGCTCCATAAATTCTTCTCAATATTTTTCTTTCAAAAATATTCAGCATACTAATTGTGCTAGTACAAAGGGCCCATGTCTCCGCTGCATAAGTCACAATAGGTCTTACTAAAGTCTTATATAGTCTTATCTTTGTTTCTCGTGACAGAAGCGATGATCGAAAAAATTTTAGGTTGGCATAGTACGCCCGGTATCCAGCCATGATCCTCTTGTACACCTCAGCAGCAATTTTATTTTCAGAATTCACTTCCACTCCCAGGTATGTGAATTTTTTGACACACTCGAAGGTGAGACCACATATTTCAATGCTCTGTGGACCAGCCTCATTGTTGGCCACGACATACATGTATTTTGTCTTATTTTGATTGATTCCCACAACAACATTTTCACTTACGGCTTTCAATATTGCAAATATTTCTTTTATTAATTTCAAATTCCTGGTAATTAGACATATATCGTCTGTGTAAGCACATATTTACACCATTGCGTTAAGTATGCAACCAGGTAAATCCAGTTTTTTCAACACATTATTAAGTGCAATATTAAATAATATTGCAGACAAAGCATCCCCTTACTTAACCCCATCCGTCATTAGAAAGCTATTGCTTACATTGCCTTTAATAACTACTTTTGCATTGCTATTATTCATAGTCATTTGCAATAAAATTATTAATTTTTTTGGAATTTGGGACTCATATAAGGTATTTATTAATTTGCTTCTTATCACTATATTGAAAGCTTGCCGGTAATCTACAAACAACATATGCAGGTCAATCTTATATTCCCAGGCTTTTTCCATTATCTGTCTCATCACAAAGACCTGATCAGTTGTTCCTATCCCCTTCCTAAATCCACATTGGTTTTCCTCCAGTATGTTCTCAGCAAATACGTTGAGCCTCACAGAGATGATTTTTGAGAAAATTTTATAGGCTACAGCCAATAGAGAAATGCCCCTGTAATTCTCGCATTGGAGTTAATCTCCTTTTTTATATATCGGGTATATCAGACTGGTGCACCACTCCTGAGGCATGATTTCACCCCTCCAAACTTCCTCCAACAGTAAATGTATTTGGCTTATCAATTCTTCTCATCCGTACTTAAAGAATTACCCCAGGTGCTTTGTTATTTTTTAATTTTTCAATCGCCTCAGCCACCTCTTCTATAGACAATAGGCTCCAGGTCATCAACACACCCTTCTTCATCACTGCCAACCATACATTCATTACCACTAGAGTTGAGCAATTCTGTGTAGTGCCATCTGCCTAGAACTCGGGAGCTCTCTACTACCACACCATTTTTATCTTTGCATCCGGTCATTTTTGACTGAAAACCCTGACTCATACACTTTACTGCTCCATAAAATTTCCTTGTCTCATTTGTTGCTCTCAATTCCTCAATCTGCTCTATTTATCTTTTCATAAAATCTCGTTTCTTATTTCGAATTTACTCACCACAAATCCTAAAAAGTTTGTGAAAGTTTTGTTTTATTTTATTATCATACAAATTCTAATACTCAAAGTATTATTTTTTATAGGCTGTGCACTGGCTTAATCCACTTCTTTCTATTTTGTTCTCTTCTGGAAACCATTTCTCTATTTTATTTCTTTGATGTGTATTTAATAAATAAACAAAGGAAAATATGAAAAATTTAAGACATCTTATTATTTTATTTTTTTATCAAGGAGTTTGGTAGCTAGGGATGGTTAGGAATTGGTGGAGCCGTTCCACGGAACCTAATACACACACGGAACTGTTTAGAACGGCTTCAACCTGCACAGCATAATGACTTCGGTCGGAGCTGTTTAGAATTGACCTTGGCTTATTAGCTCCACCCAGAGCTGGAGCCGTTAGTTGTGAGTTCCAAGCCAGCTCCCCTATGGCCAGCTTAATAGCTCCATTCTGAGATTATCTAGGCTTATTGAATCTTCCTAGTGCTTTTGATTTATTAGTTCCTATTTCACTTGCACAGGCTATATAGAGAAATTTTCTTTTATTTTTTTATAACTTTATTATGTTTGATTTGCTTATACAGATTTTTAAAAAGGATAATATTCAAAATTAAATTATTTTTGTATTTCTATGTTTGTATGTTGTATTGACTAGAAACATTCTTATTTTTATAAAAAATAATGTTTGACTATATTCAAGTTTTGTATTTTTTAGTTAGTCTTGTAAGTTATGTAAAATTTACTTAGTTAAGAAGTCCTGTTTTTTCTTGAATAGGAAGCTATATCTAAAAAATATTTCATTTAATTAATTAACAATTGATTCACAGTAAACAAGACAAAATTCTTTTTAATTTTCGTATGAAGTAAATTTTGTATTGCTTACGGTGAAGCAATCGTTAATTATTTAAACTAAATACTTTTAGTTATAGCTTCATGATTAACAAAAAATGGAAATTATTACATAAATTTTACTAACTTGTAGAACAAACTAAAAAACACAAAAATTGAATATTCAACTAGTCATATCATTGTTTATATGAAGGTTTTTTAACTGTTGAGGTCTATTATCCCCCCTTAAATATTTAGTTTCAAAAAATAGCATTTTTTTTTTTAAGGATATACTTTGGCAATTTTTATTTGTATTTTTTTTTTATTCACCTCTATAAAAAATATATGCTGACTTTAAATGGTCTAATTATGCCAGGTAAAGAGAAATGAGAAGATTAAACAAAATGACACTTGGAACTGTTTGTAACTGGAACGGTTAAGAGAACCTAATATGCCCATAGAACTAATATGGTAATCTACTGTTCCGTAACATCCCTAGTGGTAGCACATTGGGTATGGTCCTGGACTCTTAATTTTCAAACCGTCTTTTGAATCTGTCTGTGGTAGATTATTTATTTATTCAGTTTTATCAACTGGGCATACATATTTGTATAAAGTAGGAATCATTGGGGGCAGGAGGGACGTACATACCATTTATAAAGTAGGAATCCGTACATTTGATGGATCGAGAGAAAAACTGATGATTTATAATGACTTTGTATTGATTGTAAAATAAGATATATCTAATAGCTTTTTGTTGGTATTGGTAATAAGTCTCATAAAAAAGATTGGTAGACTTTTAGGTTGTATTAAACATTACAATATGTCACTTCAGCAATAATTAACGATTATATAATGAATCAGACTTGTTTTATATTTGCTAATTGGTATAATATATTTGTGGACATAAGTGAAGAACCTACCACTGCTATGAGTCCAATATTCATATTTTATACTAAGGTTACGAAAGCCATATGCCTGATAGTTATGACATCATGCTTGAGTTATAGTGTTTAATTTTCAATATGTATTTGAATGTAGGAAATGATCTATGTCTCTGTATCTTGATGTTTATGGTGATGACTAGAATTTTTAGAATAGAGAATTAGGGTTTTATATTGAACATGAGTGGATTACCGTATCCAACAAGTATACCTCAAAATTAAAATCAGATGTGGTTTTCTTTCCTGTATAACTTATAAATTTAACACATATTTTTTAGAATATTAACGCAAAATAAAAAATTGTCATTTTTTATACATATACTTACTCACACATTTACAAAAAGTACATAAAATGTTAAAGAACGTTTATTTACAAGATATTTTAATGACAAGATTTTTCAGTAGGTGAAAGTTATAATATAATAGGGCAGAAACACTGGGCTAGAAGAACAAATCTTGTAGATTCAAGAACATCTGTTATGGATGTTAAATTTGCTCCAAAATCTCTGGGATTGCTGTTAGCGACTTGTTCAGCAGATGGTGTGATAAGGATATATGAAGCACCTGATGTTATGAATTTGGCACAATGGACACTTCAGCAGGAAGTACCGTGCAAATATCAAGCTAGTTGTATTTCTTGGAATCCCAGTTATACAAGGTGATATTTTTTATTTTAAGTATGTATTTTTATCAAATTTGTTATGACTATATTCCCAATTTATATGCATTAAAATTCAAATATACCATAATAAGGAAACTTTTTTTGTCCTATCTCTTGATCATTTTGGCCACGTGACATCTAGTAGCAGACCAATATACTTCATCCTCATTCTTAGCATTAGTTCTAATCTCCTGTGGTTCAGAAGAGGCTGATAGATGCAGCTTAAGCTTTCATTAAAGTTTTTTTTTTTAACTTTGTAAGCTTTAAATATCTATATAATTGCTTGCACCCTAAACAACAAGGTCATTAGCATACTTAACATTTTAATTCCTGGTATTTACTCAGGATTCTGTATAAGATCATCAAGCATTAAATACAATAGAGTAGGACCTAGGACCCAGCCATATGGAAGGCCTTTTTTTTCTGCTTGAATTTTGATGTTCTTTGAACTTGAAATAAATTGCTCTGTATACCATTTTTTTAAACTGTTTTTCGAGAAGTTTCATTCTACAAACCTAATCAAAGGTAGGTTTGAAATCTATAAAAAACCAAGCAATTTTGTTTGTGATATTCATTTTTGATGTCTTGTGAAAGCTGTATTAATTATTCTAGGGTGTTTCAATATAGTCTAAATCCTGTTGTTTGTGCTAGATAAGCTCATGCTTTTTCAGGTGAATTTGTAATTTCGATTCCATCTTTTAAATCAACTTCTAAAAGACACTGGTGAGTGCTATGTGTCAGAAATTTTGTACACAATCAGTAGACGGAATAATCCAAACTTTTTACCATTCATAAGGCAAATAATGTGACCATACCTTGTTGAAGAACTGGATGACCTCCACCTATTTTGCGTAACTACCTTGGTGGGTGAGGAATTCAGACAGTACTTAATCTGGTTTAGGGTTCTTTCCTTGTTTTATCCATTTTAACGCTATCTCTAGTGTATAAATGAATAAATATATTTCTTTTCAACTAAATTTAATGTTAATTACAGCTGATTTTTCTTTATTTGAGCATGTTCGAGGGATTTGAATAGTTAGATTTTATTTTTACAAGAAAGCAGATTTTCTCTTCGAAAAGTGTACATTCCGTTTATTAATGTAATGTGAAGAATTAAAAACAAGAGAATGTTAGAATTTTTATTAAGTTTCTTTGTTTACAATAATACTTTTATACAATTTATTTTCTTTAGATTTAAACATTTTCTTTATTTAACTTAATTCTTCAATGTTTTGAGCTATTGTTCATTAGTATGCTGAGTGATTTAGCAACTCAACACAGTTGAGCTGCAGTACAATTTATTGTGCTTTTCTCTTCATCCCTTTTTTTTTTTCTTGTAATTATTAAAATATTTGCCAATTATTAGTTCAAAGTTTACAAATATTGTAATAATTGCAAGAAAAGAAAAATGTATCATGAAGAGGATCAATAGTTTGAAACAGTGATCAATTGAGTTAAAGAAAGAAAATACGGGTTTCAGTCTCAGAAAGTAAATTGTTTAAAAAGTATTATAATATCATTATCATACTCTTAGAAAAATAGTTGAAGGAAGCTAGTCGACTGTTCTACATATCGTGGGTGATAAATATTCAGGACGCAGTCTTTTAAAAACAAAATTTTTAAATTTTTTTATTTGTGCCAATGTTTCAACCCAAACATGTGGTTCATTTTCAGGGAGTGGTTCAAGCACTGAATGCTTTCAAGTACTCGACGTTGGCACAAATAAAAATTTTTTTTTAAAAAGATTGCGTCCTAAATATTTATCACCTTAGAAACGTTAATTCTTTAACTACAATTAGAAGCCCAATTCATTACAGTTAAAGCTTCTTATTCTAAGGAATAGGTTCCATTCCATAAATATGCTCTTGATACAGAAATAGTTAGTATATAATGGTTACCACATAAAAAGATAAACTATGTAATGAAATCAATTAAAAGGGAGATTTTGAAACAATATTAATAATGATTATCCGGCTTAATAAATAATTTTAAAAAATCAATAATTTTTCTTGTTTAATGTGTAGACAGTCTAGCATAATATGTTTTTTTAAATTATTCATAAAAATGAATGCTGAAAAAACTTACAGAACACATTAGGGATTTTCCTCTTTTGTGTAATTTAAAAGAGAAGAGTGCTTTGACATTGGAAATAAGAAGCTTATTTGGAAGCAAATTAAAAGTTTAATGCAACCAGTGGAATACAACCAGACAGTTAATCATTAATTTTATCTCTTTAAATATAGGCTGTTTCAGGCATTCACAATCTAAGTCCAATAATAAGTTTACAAATTCAGAAAACCATTTCACATTTTGGTCTGCAATTGTTTTTCTACATTAGTCTGTGACCTAAATCTTAATTCTTTGTGTCAAGCAACATGTTTACTTTGCAAACATATGAAACTTAATCACCCATTCTTGCCCATTTAATTGCAATAATAAGAATTATGTTCCAGGTGGAAAACTCGTAATTTTTGGATGTTTTTTAATAATAATAGATTAGTATGGATTAGGAGGAAATAATTTATTGTCAATAAGATGGTTTCTAGACTTTTGTCCCGCTAGATTTGCAATCAGCACCACTGTGCGGTGGCATAAAGAAAATAAATATAATTTATTTTTATTTTGTACTTCCAATGACTACTAATCTACAGCAATATCATCCAACAGTCAACAATTATCCACCATTATGAAATCACATTAATTTCTCCAACATTTTGTGGGTCCACTTATCCTGAAAATAAGTACTTGACAGTCAGTAAATAAATCAGACATTTGACCATTGTATCCTAAAATACTGTATCGTCAGAGTCCTCTTCAAAATCTTACAGCCTAAGCCCTTCATAAGCAATCATGAGACTTATATGTTTATTAATTAACAACATTTATTTATTTGGGATATTATGACATTTTGATTTATGATGCATAATTTTTTTTTATAATGCTGTTTTTTTTTTATTTTAGAGAGAGGCGTTGTACAAAGTATTTTAAATTGAATAACTCTGACAAAAAAGAAGGTGAAATGAAGTAAGTGTAATTTTTAAAAATCTCTATTTATGTGGATTGATGATTAAGCATATAATTCAATAATGAAAAAACATTAAATGTTAATATTTTGTTACTAATTTATTGTTCATATTTCTTATTTAGTTAAATATACTTGATTATAATCATTTATTATGTATTTTAGAATACATGATTTGGATAATGGATATGCTAATTATCCTTTTATGGTGGAAGATCCTGATTCATATATTGTTGTGTGAGTACATATTAATTTTAATTTATTATTAAACATTTGCATTATCATCAAGTATTTCAAAAAACCTTTATTTATAATTCATTTACTTAGATGAGTAGAAGTTTCATTTCAGTTTCCTTGTACTTATTATCTAATTTTTTTACTAACCTCTCCCAATATTTGTGTGTATGTATGTGTTTAATTCTTAACTATATATTAAATATACAGAGAGAAATATTAAGGTCATGAAAAAATTCAAATCCATTTTTTCCTACGGAAATACACATTTTAAGGTTCCTCATTCCTAAAAATGATTGAGTTTCACAGAATTGTCTGTGGTGATACATGGGTGTGTGTGAGAGAGTGTGAACAACCTCAGGGTGATGACCAAATGGGAAAAACGGGAAAAGCCAGGGAATTTTCAATACAGGGAAGTCAGGGGAAAAAAATTTGAAGTCAGGGAATGTTTTTATTATGTAAATATTTTTTTCAAATTGGAAATGAACTTTTTTTTTCCCCTCATTTTCTAGTAAAGTAAATGTTTATGAAATAATATTTAATACATGAAATAGAGAAACAATCAATTTTATTAATTATAACAAAAAATTAGAGCATCACTGATATCTTGCTGACAGTGGTGTTTTTGTTTTATCTTAAAAATGCAAACTGTGTTGGCTGTCAGCTGTTTAATTTTTCCTCCCCTTTAACCAATTAATGCCAACATGGTTATATTTACATATTAGATCTGGTAATATAAGTTAAAACCAGATCTGGGCGAAAAGTATTTTGTTTTTCTAAAGTGCAATTTTAATTACCTACTATTTCAATTACTCCACTTACTTATTTTATTTAATTAGTATTTAAATTTCAAATACCAGATACTTTTTCTGCAAACAATTTAAATATATGGTGACTAAAATTGTATTTTAGAAACACAAAACACTTTAAACAAAATGTATTTAAAAATACATTTTTGCCCAAGTTTGGTTGAAACCACTGCTAATCAAACTAGTTATGTTCTAGCGTTTGTCTGAAAAACATAGTTCAGGATTGTACGTGCTGGTCTCCAATTTTAGCTTGTTTTGGCTCATTTGCTATTTTCCATTTAATTGTTTTTCTTTTTGTTGTAGGTGTAAGTTACTTGTAACATAAAATTCCATAGAGGTTACATCATCTTGTTAATATTTAAAATATTGAGAAGACAGTTGGTTTGATGTAGTGGTTATCTTTACTTTCTCTAATTTAAAAAACAATACAAGAACAACATTCCACCAAGTTTATCTATCAGTTCATAAACAAATATTCATTTTATGTTCTATCTTATCTTACACGACTCACTATATCTGTAGGAAAGTGGACTTGATGTACTACGAAACACTGTCAAATAGCATATTAATTCTAACCATTCCATCTTTATGAGAACCTAATAGGTGCTCAGTAGGGATGGGATATCGAAGATATTAATATCGTACTGTAACTATCGAAACCATCAAAATATCGGACTTAAATATTGATAGTTGATGTTTTCATTGATATTAAAAAAATTTTTGACATATGAATATCATTATAAATATTGATTGAGTTAGAAGGATGCCACGCACGTTATTCAACTTTACTTAGGGATGCCCATCGATAGTCGTTATTATTGAAATATCAATATTTTCCTCTACTACACACTACATTCTAAAGATGCAAGATGAATATAATTTTTTTTCTAACGATCATATTCATATATAATTCCTAGCGCTCTCCGGAAAGGATAGATTTTATTTTTACTTTTAAATTAAAATATCAAAGAGATGATATCGATATTAGATAATATAAAAGTACTACTGATGGTGAAACATCGATTATCAGAAGGAAAATGTCGACTATCGATGGCCATTCCTAGTGCTCAGTTGAAAACATTCGAATTTCAATTTGAACTGATTCAAAATAATCTTCTTCATCTGTTAGCCCTTTGCCCTTAAGGCTGAGGACAAAGTTTCAAGGAAAAGGGATTGTAAGGATTAATTTTATTTCATGAATCATTATGAGAAATTATAATATTACTCATATATACTGATTTTTAATCTTAAAAGAGACAATACACAAACTAAGCACATTAAAATGATTAATATTAATTGTTCAGTTATAAGTATATTTAATAATATAACTTTTTTAAAAAGGCAGAATGTCATGGAATTACTTAATTTTTTTTTTTTCATTTTTATAGACATTCACCAAATAGTGACTCACTTTATTAGTTTTATTTTATTTATCTATTTGTTTGAAATTTGACTCAAAATATGTTTTCATGGTTACATGGAATAAATTACAAGGAAATAAAATCAAGGCAAAACTTATTTATTTTCACTTTAAACTATTGTTTATGTACTATATTTTTTAGTTCTTATTATTGGCCATATATTGAGCACCGAGTTAAAAAAAATGTTTCATTTTCAAATGGGATAGAACCTTTATAAATAGTCAAATTCGTTCTTAAGTTCATGGAACATATTTTATAAAGTGTGTAAATGCATTTTTATAAATTTAAGTTAAAAGTGTGTTTTTATTATACCCTTTTCAGTCCCCAGGTACCTATGCTTGCTGTAGGATTCGATGATCAAAACTGTGGAGCTAATAATAGAGTGGTAATTTTACAAAATATTACAAGATTGAGGAGATGGAACAAAACTGAATGCTCAACATCTGTAACTGACCACTGTACTTCATCTGTAACTGATCCAGTTCACGATTTGGCTTTTGCTCCGCGGCTTGGCAGAAGTTATGACCTGTTAGCTGTTGCAACCAAGGATATTAAACTTTATGTTTTATGTCAGATAATGTAAGTATTTTTGTAGTGGATTATTCTATACACCTTAAAGTGCTGCTTCTGTTTTTTTTAAATTAATTTTTTGCTATTAAAAATTTATTGTACATCACTAGCGGATCCAGGAATTAATTTTGGGGGAGGGGGGGCTTCAGCCCGAAACCTTTTTTTTTTTCATAAAAATAACGTTAATTACTTTGGAAAAACAGAAAGTAACTAACTATCTATATGAAATGGTGTTTAAGTTATTTCTTAAGTACTTTTAAATGTAATCACACGAACAATAATACTTTAAGAGGTATTTTTAAAAAAAAATTTCCCATAAAACATGGTTATATTTTTCCATTTTGGGGGGGGGCTTCAGCCCGAAAGCCCCTCCCCTCCGTAGATCCGCCCGTGCTGTACATAGATGTGAATGTGTTTTATTTATTTTGTTATCATTCGGCTAATCTGTTATTTTACTTATCTTGTATATTACTTTATCTTTTTATTTATATATATCTCTTTTTTTTCTTTCTCTTGGTTATTTTTATTTATTTTCCTTTCTTATGTACATATTGAGCGAATGAATACTATAGCCCTAATACCAATGCCCTTCAGTGTGGCAGACAAAAGTCATGTAAATATGTAGAACATAACATGTGTATCTGGTGGAAGAACTAATCATTAGTTGCTCTCCAATTATTGAATATAATTGTTGGGTATATGCTTATATATATATATATACATATGAGTAATCCTCACCCATTTGGTCATTGGGGCCACTTTCTATTCAGAGGCCTTTAAAAATTATTAGTAATGGTTAGGTTTTGTATAAGGAAGTGGCGATTCCATGGTCTGGTCATTGTACTGCAGTCAGCCCCAGACTGGGGGAACAGAACACAATTACAATACACTCTACATAAGGGAACATAGAGTATGAAGGGGAGATGGCCGAGCTGGCTAACACGTGTACACAGCACCACGTGTTGTCTGGCAACCCAGATAGAATATTATGTGATAAAATAATACCAAGTTTGCGTCCCACTGCCATGGGGGGCCTTTAATTCTGGCATTAATCCTCTGCCTTCACTCCCTGGCCCGGGAAACCATGTTTAGCCCAAAAGGCGAAGTAAGAGAAATCAAAAAAGTCCCATAGAGTATACGCCGTAAGGCCACCTTCCCTCTGAAGTCACCCAGTACGGCAGAGATCATTGCCCCATCAGCAGACTATGGTGCGAAGAGAGGGTGGATAGCCCTCCTACCTCCTACCTAGCCCTCCTACCTCCTACCTAGCCCTCCTATAGACTACCTGAAATATCAATTATCTTGAACCCGTACCTGCCTCGGATGTGATCAGTCTTAAAGGGAAACGACTCAGCACCCCCTATAGGATTCTTAACTTATGAAGTATTAGAAAGGACTCTGGATGAATGTCCTAGGTATAATATGAAAGTAATTGCTGGAGACTTTGATGTCATGTTAGGGAAGAGGCAATATACCAGGGGATAGTAGGAAAACACAACCTTCATGAAATCTGCAATAAATTTTAATGGACGAAGGCTAATTAATAATAATAAATCCAAAAGTTTCAAGCTTAGAAAGTTAAAGGATCCATAAACCCAACATAGGTACGCTGAAGTGCTAGACTCTAAAATATGCCTAGGAAGCTACAATGTTGATAAGGGTATTGAGAGATCTTGATCAGATTGTTTTTAAGTAATAATGGAAGCAGTCTAAGAAGTCAAGGTGTTTTGACTACACAAGAAGGAACCAAGGTCACCATTAATTGATGAAGAATGCAGAGTAGTCATGAACAGGAAGAACACTGTGTAAGACGCAATTATAAGTCCTTATAACTACTAACAATCACTTGGAGTTCTATTAATGAATACTGACAGAGAGATGGAAGGACGAGAAATGGTAATATCGCAAGAACAAACGACGAAAGGAGAGAAAGAAGCTGGAAAATATGGAACTGCTGCACCATAACAATGAACACAGCGATTTCTTCAGATTGGTCAGCAAGCAAAGAAAGCATTATGTGAATAAATTAGAATCCTGTATGGATAGAGAAAGTTACTTGGTTACTGACAAAGCTTAAGTTCTTGATGAATGAAGGAATTATTTCAACAACAATCTTCTCAAGTTTAGAAAAGAAAGTGTTAGTGATGAACTAAGAACTCCAGAAGAAGAAGAAATCATTAGGAGACAGGTGGAAAAACAGTAAATTAATTTGGAACCACCTGATGAAGATGAGATTGCAGATACCATCATCAAACTAAAAAATAATAAGGCTCCTCGTACTGATGCACGCCATGCTGAACTTCTAAAATGTGGTGGAAATAACTACTAACCTATAAACTAACCAAAGCACTATTGGATCTCTTCCTTGTGATTTGGACAGATGAGGTGTTGCCCTCTGAAAGGAATAGATCCATCATATGTTCTACACATTAAAAGGGTTATAGGTTGCTGTGCAGCAATTATTGAGGTATCTCGTTACTGTCCTTCGTCTATAAGATACTATATCACATTCAGTTTGGACATCTCTTACCATATGGTAATGTGAACTCGGTCCATACCAGAGTAAATAACATCAAAGGCAACTGTAGAGAAACTCCTTATTTTTGAAAGAAAAGTTATTCCTGTGTTTTTGGAGAAGAATGGAAATGATTTTTTTAAATTGTTTTATAATTTGAATTTTATTTTCTTCAATATGTCTCCAATTCAGTTGCTTCATTAATATGCCCAAATTAAATATTCTCATATGCTTTGTAATTTTATTTTTAATTCCTAACAAGTGGTGGGTGCCCCCACTGGCCCAACAGATGAGACCATAATCTTGGTATCTGTATTTTCTTGTTCCATGGTGTAATGCCTGAAACAGGTCCCTATCCCTTAAATTTTCAGTGATAATTCTTGTAAAAACAAAAGTCACTGTCATAGTTGATAGAGCATCTTTGATGTCGTCCCACTCTGCTAAGACAAAAGGATTTGTCATGCCATGAAATATCAGAAATGAAGAGCAGAGATCACTTATAAATCAAGCAGTTACTTCCTTTTCATGTAATAGCACTCTCTTGAGCATTCACATCTGGTTATCTGGGGAGGTGTAGTTTTATATGTTATACCAAGGGCATCTACTTCAATGTGTGTGTTTGTTCTTATTTTTCTCATTCTGTTGGAATATGGATTTAAAACTTAATAATTAAGGGTTTTTGTCTTTCAGGAATTCATCATTCGCTACTGTAAAATTTAAACTACACTTAGCTGCGAATTTTGAAGGTCATAATAGTACAGTTTGGAGAATTAGTTGGAACTCAGTTGGAAGCATTTTAGTTTCTTCAGGAGATGATCGTTGTGTGAGGTTATGGAAACAATGTTAGTTTTTTTTTTTAATTTTGTTACTTTACATGATTGATATGATAGTATTAATATTTAAGCTACAATCAAAGTTAACTATTGTTATTTTTTCCCAGGTGTAACATCTATTTTACTGGCCTTTAAATCCTATCATGATTTATTTTTTTTTTTTTTTCATGTGCTACATATTAACACTACATATTTCTTAATAGTGTTTTAATTTTAAATTAAAATACTTCTTAATCATATAAAATGTTGAAATATACTTTATTATGTTTTTTTTACATAAGCTAAGATTTAGATCACCATGACATATTGTCTTCTATGTGCCTCAGCCTTTGCACTTAATCAAGTCCAATCACTTCTCTTCCTATTGAGAATTTTTTTATAATGATCGCTAGTTTGAGATCTGCTATTTTGTCATCTGTCAACTTTACAAATATCAACTTCGTAGCCTATTGATCATTCATCTCTATTAAAATGAAATCCAGGAGAGCTGAGGCAATGTCAAAATAAGCAACTCTTTTATCATCCTTTTCTTCAGCTTCTTATGTTAAATCTTTCTGGTCTTGAATTTTCTTACATTAAAGTTATTAAGTTGTAAAATTAGGCTGTGTTTATTTTTTCACCATATTTATTTTAATTTTCATACCTACGTTTCGGCCGGTAAGCCATCTTCAATCCATTTTATCCAACCATGCTTTTTGCATGTAGTCCAAAGTCAGATCAAACAAAGTCAGAAGGGAGGGCTAACTGATCAGACTTAGGACTACATGCAAAAAGCATGGTTGGATAAAATGGCTTAAAGATGGCTTACCGGCCGAAACGTAGCTATGAAAATTAAAATAAATATAGTGAAAAAAATAAACAGAGCCTTGTTTTATAATATTAGAAAATATTCACCTAAAACAAGCACACATGGTTTTAATTTGGTGATAAATTTACCCATTCCTCATTCACCACAAATACACTATTTTTTATCATAAATTTCCTTAATATATCTTGAATTAATTCTGTATTACTGTTTTATTCAAGTAAAAATTTAAGGAATACTTTTTTATCTCCTTTTTTAACTCAAATTTCTATCTTTTTCCATTGGTGAGATTATTTTTGTTACCTTCATCCAAAGGCAATTGTTATGTACCTCTTTGGGAGAGAAGGTTATGCTGAGTCATGTATTCTTGTGATCAGTAGGACGAATCTTGTTTTCGATTTCTCATTGCTATGAATAAAGTAAATGTACTTCAAGAAGTGTGTTTATTGAAAACATAACATTAATCAAGACAAAGTTCTCCATCTTAAGTTTTTCTCTACAGGGTGGGAGAGAGGAGCTTTATCGAACAAAATAAAACAATTATAAGAGGAAATCTTTTCTGTTTTAAACGTGATTCACGGAAAATAAAAATTTATGTTTAAACCATGACACAAAAGTAATTTGATTCATCCAACCTTTTGGCTGATAATAAGGATTACAAGGAAAAACTTTAATTTTTGTTCCGTTAAAAGATTGTGGCTTTTCTGCCTTTAAAAAAATAAATAATAATTTTTGTATCATGCATTGGAACAAACCGTTTAAAATCTTGTGAATTATATTTATACATAGCCCTAAACTGCTTGCCTTGCTCATTGTCATTAACATAACCAAACTGTTTTGTTGTATTCTTTATCTGATTAAAACAAAAACAAATAATGAGTGATAATTATTCAGGATGCAGTCATTATAAACATTTTTTTATTTGTGCCGACGTTTCAACCCAAACATGTGGGTCATCATTAGGACTGAAAATTTTTAAATACAATCAGAGATATAATGTTATATGACTAATATTGGTTAATGATGAAAAAATATAGGGATTGATGGTACATGAATCTTAACTGATATTACAAATGAAATATGTAGAAAGTTATACAAACTAAAAATAATGTATATAATTCATTTATAAAAATTGTAATATTTTCACTGAAGATATTCAAGTACTAACACATTTGGTAGGTAAGTGTGAGGGGTCAGGGATGGATTTCCCAGTTGTCCTTTTCCCGATAGAAAAAGATAGGTAAACATAGTCAGAGGGGGAGGGAGGTAACATTTCTGTTTTTAGAACGTAAATAATTTGCTGGCTAAATATTTAAGATGTATACAAGATATGTGTTGTTTCTTATGGTTACAGAATTGTGACTAAGGGCTAGTAACGAAATGAACATAAGCAAGAGATGTCAATCAATATAAACATCACATAGTTTGATTGAAGGTATACAATAGTTAGCCAAATAATATTTATAATTTATAATTTTTTATAATATGATCAGGAAAGGTGTTGGATTTCTGGATCTTGTGTAGTTTGGTTTCGTTATTGTCGTGGAATTGCGTGTCGGTTAATGTTAGACTGCGGTTTTTAGCTACACTGATTTTTTGGTGGTAAGGATGTTGGGAAAAATAGTTTAGGAGACAGCCAGAGTAGGTAGGTTTGGTATACCAATTGGTGGATAAGGTATTATCATTATTTCTGGAAATGAGGAGATCAAGAAATGGGAGGGAATTATTTGATTCTATTCTAATGGTAAAACGTTGGCACAAATAAAAAATTGTTTTGAATTATTGAAGGAAGTTAGTTGACTGTTTTACATATCATAGGTGATAAATAGTCAGGACATAGTAATTTTTAATGTTTTGACTAATGTCGACGTTTCAACTCAAGCATGTAGGTCATCAGAGCTGAAAAATTGTTGAATACAATCGGTGAAATAATATTATAAGAGATAATGGTTAATAATGAAAAAATAGTGATGGATGGTACATGAAATATGTTATAAATTATACAAACTAAAAAATAATGTTGTAGAGATGGTTGACCGTTGATATAATATGAGAAGTGTTACATCCTACGCCCTCAAGACGACCTGCAAAGTGGGTCGAAATGTCGGCAAAAATAAAAATAATTAATATATTTTAATTTAGTATTTATTTGACCGCACCCCTGACTAACTCCTTCTCATAAAAAATAATGTATATAATCAATTTATAAGAAATGTAGGTACTTTTTGTCTAGCAGGCCGGCACTGATTGCTATCTGCCAATGTTTATAACCTGAACACTGATAATTCCCATAGCGCATTGATAAGCCTTCTCCTACTTCATATCTTCGTATTATTGTATTAAATTTGTATTATTGAAAGTGTAAACAAATACAAAAACAAATGTAATAACAAAAAAATACTTTTATTTTACGACACATATATTAATGAAATAATAAAAAAACACTTTAAGAAGATATGTACATATAAAACATCAAAATGAAATAATAAAAAAACACTTGAAGAACATATGTAGATATAAAAGATGAAAATGAAATAATAAAAAAACATTTAAAGAACATATTTACATAGAAAAGAAAAAATATCAACACTATAAACAACATATGTACAATTTATTTTCACTTTGTCTTATTTATTTTGGAAGGCAAAATTGTTTTATGCTATTTAAAATAGCGAGGAACGGGTCCTCTTCTCTGTGAACCCGCCGCCACAAAAATTCGCACAAATATGAATCGAGGTGTTGTCTGGCAGTTCCTCTATGTACTTTATTTCTCCACTTCGCTGAGCCCCATAATCGTTCTATGTGTTGAGTATGAACCCCAGTTGATGGATCGACAAAATTATACCAGTGATTCACTTGGAAATGGTCATAGTTTGCTTCGTTCAGTTGTCGGGTGTTGTATCCTTTCCAACTGTCCGAATAAATGGTCGTTCCCTCTTCTATATTGTCTTTAATTGCTTACAATAAACACAACTTCATTCGATGACCTCGTTTCACGTCTGGAAGTATCCCAACATTTTGAAAATATTGAATTGCCTGTTCTTCTGAAGACGGCAAATCCCATAATATGACGAAAATAAACGGAAAAAAAATGAAAAATAAACACAAAAGGGCCAGAAACTAAAAAAAAAAAATGAAAAATAAACACAAACGGACCAAAAACTAAAAATAATGGAAAATAAACACAAACGGACCAAAAGTACAGAATTTATATAGTGTATGTAATAAGGGAATAACTGAAAACTAAACAATGCAATAACTCAAAGGTTTGGCGGGATAAGAAGAGGGAGGTTATGTAACATGACATTAGATAAGAAGTGAGGTTTAGTACCTTAGGCTAGACAAAAACTACCGAAATGTAATATTTACTCTTACTAACCTTGTTTCGAGTATTGAAGGTGTTCAAACACTGGCACTTAGGTAGGTAAGAAAGAGTGTCAGTGGAGAATTTTCCAGATGTGCTTTTTAGATAACAAAGATAGGTTTTTTTTGTGGAATGCAAAATCATTTGATACATAAAATATTCAAGGAAACATGTATACAATAGTTATATTGTTTCTTAGAGTTAATAATTATGACTATTAGATTGTAATGAAATAAAAATAAATAAGAGATGACAGCCTGTCAATGAATACTGTCAATTGTAATAAATTGAAATGATAAGTAGTAAAATGGGAATAGTTACATCTATAAGTTAACAAGGAAATGGAGAAAATGAAAAAAAAAAAATTTAAGCTATTGTTTGAAGAGGTGGAAAATGTGGGAATATATATTGCAGATTTATTATATTAATTAATGTATTTATATTGTTGTTTTTTTCCTTGCCTGTTCTTACAACTATTTTACAACCTGTAGGCTTCCCCTAATTAAGAGGGTAATGGTCTAACTTCCCACAGGGACCAACCGTAGTGGGAAGTAGGGACGGGATTCGATCCTATGATTTTTACTTTCCTAGTATAGTATAACCCACTAACCACTCTGCTATACCAGCCTCTATTGTATTAAATAGATTTATTCATTTTTACAAAATAATAAAATAGCCAAAATAAAAATTCCGAAAGTAGTCGTTTTTGGTGGCTGGAAACTGTGGCAAGTATGGATGGGTAATCAAAATCAAATGTGTGATTAAGGGTTATAGTCTGTTCGGCTAGTATCTAGGCGAACAGGTTGAATGTGGAGATGTTATATTTGTGCTGGTATATTCGTTTTTTGAGATAATTTTTTGTTTCTCCTATATAGAAAGAATTGCAGTTTGGGCTAGGGCATGCAATACAGTATACTATATTTGATTGTTGTAGGAGCGGAACAGGATCTTTGAGTTTGGTGTATAAATTTCTTAATTTACTGTTAATTTTAAAAATGATGTGTAGATGAGGAAATTTAATTTTAAAAATGATGTGTAGATGAGGGAATTTGGAAGTTGAAGATTTTTTGAGACAGGACCGGGATGTATGGAATGGATCTGTATTGGTGAATCATGGTGGGAGATTGAGAGCATTTTGTGGGAGACTGGTGAAGATGAGGTTTGGATTGATTTTTAATTAGATTTTTTGTTATGTGGTCAGGAAAGTTGTTTGATTTCAGGACCTTGTGTAGTTTAGTTAGGTTATTGTCATGGCATTGTGAGTCAGATAATGTTAAACAGCGGTGAATCAGGTTTTTAGCTACTCTGATTTTTTGGTGGTAAGGGTGATGGGAAAAATAATTTAGGAGGCAGTCAGAGTAGGTAGGTTTGGTGTACCTATTGGTGGATAAGGTGTTATAATTATTTCTGCAAATGAGGAGATCAAGAAAAGGGAAGGAATTATTTGAATTTATTTCAATGGTGAAAAGGATTCGAGGGTGATATGAGTCACAGGCGGATCTACGGGGGGAGGGGGCTTTCTGGCTGAAGCCCCCCCCAAAATGGTAAAATATAACCATGTTTTACTGAAAAAACTATTAATAAAAACTATCTTTTAAAGTATTCTTGTTCGTTTAATTACATTGAATAGGACTTCTGGAACCACTTAAACACCATTTCATATAGGTAGTTAATTTCTTTTCTTTTTTTTTTCAAATTATTTCTATGAAGATTTACGAAAAAAAAATCTTTTGTGCTGAAGCCCCCCCCCCCCAAAATTAAATCCTGGATCCGCTTGTGGTATGAGTTGAATGCAGAAAGTATGTTTGGAATAGCGTGGGGGTAGAGGATTAATAAGATTAATCTATGTATTTTGTAATGAAAAAATGTAATTAGGAATTGGGGTAATATCGAGTCAATGAGGTTATTGAGAACAATGCTGGTAGGTTGTCTAGTGCAAGGCTATTACCCATCGCCAGGCTGGAATTTTGATGAAAGAATTTCTTTTGTAAACATAGATAGCCAGAGTTATACATAGAGAGAGGGACTGAAGGAATGAAGATTGATTGAGAGAAGTGTGTGGTTCTATGATAGACAATTTTCTTCAATTATTTGGAGAGCATGGTCTCTGGGAATATTGGTGAAGAAGCATATCTAGAAAATCCTCTACCGACTCTCTTACTTACCTACCTAAGTGCCAGTACTTGAACACCTTCACTCCTTGAAACATGTTTATTAAGAGTAAATATTACATTTATAATAAATTAATTATATGCATTATTTTTTAGTTTGTTTAACTTATTACATATTTTATTTGTCTATTTCATGTATAATCCATCACTATTTTTTCATTATTAACCATTATCTCTCTTATAATATTATATCTCTGATTGTATTAAACAATTTTTCAGCCCTAATGATGAGCCACATGCTTGAGTTGAAATGTCGGCACCAATAAAAACTTTATAAATTACTGCGTCCTGACTGTTTATCACCTATTAATTTTTTTTTTTTTTAGGATCTTGTTGATCCACCTTGAGCATTGATTACTGTCTGAAGACGACAAGTTATTGTACCTCTTATTAGAATTTTGATGCTATCTTAAGGGATTGTCTTCCATTCCCTTAAGTGCTGTGTGCAGTTCATCCAGAGTTTTTGGAAGGGTATTCCATCCTGAAATCTGTCTTTGAAGTTGATCCCATAATTGCTCAATGGGATTTAGGTCTAGAGAGCTAGCAGGCCAATCCAGGCAGCGAATTGCTTGAATTTGAAAGAATGGATTTACAAATCTAACTCTATGCCTAGTGATGTCATCCACAAAAATAAATTCTGGGCTTACTTTTCCCATAGGTTGCACTATTGGTCCTAAGACCCTGTCCAAATAACGCTGAACAGTTGTAGCCTCATTTCACAATACCACAAGCTCTTTTTGAGACCACAAGGATTTACCACCCCTCACTGTAATTGAGTTTCCTCCAAACAGGTAAACAGGCAGGCAAGACCTGGGAAGGATATTGCTTACCAGACCTTCTGGTTACTCTTGCACGGTTTTAATTATGGTGCAGTACAAATTTAGAATCATCTGTAAAAAGGTAATTATCCCAGGTATGATCAGTCCATGATTTATGAATCCAATCAAATTGAAGTGTGTTGTGGGGTGATTCTTGGAAAAGTGCTATACATGCTCTATCATTCTTCTTCTAACTGTGTAAAGGATAATTTGCACATTAGAGACAAAAAACCAATCATCAGGTAGGCTTTGGTAACTGTTGAAGCGACTTTCTTCGAGCCCAGAAAGTCAAATATTGGTCTTGTACTGTTGTAGATCTTTGATGTCCTCCTCCATGAGTATATTCAAAGGAACCACTATCCCTTTTAACATCTCCATTCACGACTTACCGCACTTTGTGAGGTTCATAGCCTTGCTGCCACATTTCTCTGGGCCTCACCTCCTTTCAAAACAGCAATAGCTGTTGCAAAATCTACTACTGTAAGACTTCATGCAGAATTTATTTAAACGTAACCAAATATTATTCAAAACAATTAATTACCATATGTTTTCCCATTTGTCTAATCTATTTAATTTATGCGTTTTTCATCATTAATCAATTTCTTTTATGAGTGTATATTTTAATTGTTTGTTTAATTATGATAAACAATTAAGTGCCATGAATTTTTTTTTTAATTTGACAAGAGTGTCAGTGAGGAGGTCGGATATTCATTTATATTTCATTGTGGGTATTTTTATTTGTTCAAACACTGTGATATATATATGTACACACATACAAATTTTAATTTGGTTTGTCATAATTTATATAATTAAATATTAAATAATACCAGCACTAGCATTTATGAAAACTGTACATGTTTAAGTAAATAATATTATCGGATCCTACACGTTCGCCAAGGTTGGGGCATGCTTGGGTTTTTTCTGCTAATCTCGGTGCCTTATTATCATTCCTTGTTTCTCCTTTAGTTAATGATCAGTTTTTTCACTGTTTATATTTAACCATTTTGTTTCATTATTTACAGTGTGAAATAGTTCATTTATTAAAACAAATAAAATTACAGGTACTTTAGAGGAAGAAATTAAAAAAAACTTGCCAATTAAGCTCTGTTGGAGAACATCAATGAGAATAAAACCTACCTTATATTAAAAATCACTTCTTAATTGTAAATTAGCATAAAAATTTTAATCAAAACTGTTAGAGCTGAAGAAATTGTAAAAATGTATTAAATTGATGATATGAAGTGCCACTTCCGATTTTGATAAAAAAGTTGCTGTAACATCCCAGGTCTATAAAAACCTTAAATACACAGTTTCAGTTTCGTAAAACTTTTCGTTTTTGAGTTAGACTGTTCACATACACACAGACATTTTACAGGACTTGGTTATTTGGATTCAATGGATTAAATGAAGAAAACCTCAAATCATATATTTCCGTTTGAAACTTGAATTCAAAATTTCTCATGATCGCAATACTTCCCTTTTCATTTATATATATTTCATATATAGATAAGTGAAAGTAAGAATTTAAACAGATACAGAAATACAGATATTCTCCATAGAAATTTTCAGCTTATGTCATGGTCAAGTTCCGCTGAAGAGAACTTTATAAAGAGATCAAATCATTTGATGTAGGTTGAAATAGTTTATTATGATTATTGTAAAGTTTCTGTATTATACTACTAAATATTGTAAAAAAAAATCCATTTTTTAATTAATTTGTTTATCTTTAAATAAGAATTAATTTACTTGTGTAATTTATGATAATTTTCATTTATTTGAAGGTCCAGTTGGTCCCTATGATAAAAATGAAGAAGATCGGGGAGTTTCGTCTCCTTCTAAGTTATTGGATTCTGTGCAAGGGCAAGGTAATACTACTTATAAATTTATCATTATGTGTGAGTACAAGGAATATGAACTAAACTGCAAAAAAAAAAAAAAAACTGGCTCACCCTATATTTTTTTATTAATATTATTTAAAGTTAGTTTTGGTAAAGATATGTTGTGTTAAATCAAAGCTTTAATATCAATAAGTCTATACATCAATGCTCCCAGATACAGAAGTTTAACTTACCTCGGTGCATCAGGCAGCAGGTACACAGTTTTGAAGGAAAATGACTAGACACTTATAATGTTTTCAAACGAGTTCAGATTTTCATTATTCTTTTCAAATCGCCAGTTATTTGCAACTATACCCTCCTTCATCATGACTGTGGCTAGATTCAACTAATGACATTGTTGATCTACATGACATTCTGATATCTAAAAACTTTTTGAAATCTTCTGCCACTCTACATACTAAATCCATATATATTCAAGCACTTTCCCTCCTCTCCTGATTTTTCTTTCTTGGCCTATTTATTATACCTTCTCAACCTGCCCTTTATTCATAATTCTGAGATAATTGACTTGATTTATTTATCATAGATTCTCTTAAAATTCTATCATCCTTGCAAATTTCTGTATCTATTTATTTTATAACATTCTCAAGTGGGTCATTATTGGCATAATTAACAATTAAAACATGAATTATATACAATGATGAGTTATTTACACAGTAATATTTTTACAATTATGAATACAAAGATTAAATTAAATGAACAGTTCATATGGCTTTTATGAATTTCATTATATTTTAAATTCCTGTATCTTTCCTTTCATCTTAGGATCTTAAAAAAATTTCCTACATCCATACTCTCAAACATATTTAAAAAATATTGATTCCTTAACCACAGAAAAAAATAGTAACTCTTGATTCACCTCAGATTATTCCGTTTTGATTGACAATATGGTCAAATATCTCTATACTTATCTCCTTATTCTCTGTAATCTCTATACATCTCTTAAAGCCTGTATTTGAATACGAAAAATGATCGATCTCTGTCATTCCTTAATTCTTCTTTTCTTTTTGTTCATACATAATTTTCCTCTAAGTCTGGATAAGAATCTTTTGGTATCTCATTGAATAATATTCCTGCTTGTTTTTCAATATCTAACTTTAAATCTATCTCCGTTCTATCTATTTTATCCAAGCCTCTGGCAAGATTAGTCCATTTTTTTCTTAATACCTTCCTTGAGCTGAGATTAGATAATAACTACTGTTGAGTGACCCATCCTTTTTCAAATACCTTAATTTGTTTCTTTACTATCTGTTATTCCATCTCAAGAGTCTACTTATTAATTTCCCCTTTCTTGTAAAAAAAACTTCAGTTTTCTTTGCTCAGCATCTTTACAGAATAGCTATATTTTCTTGATTGCACAAAAATTCATTAATATCCTTAAACAATTTCTATGATTCCATTCTCAAAATTTTAGCCCCCCGTTGTATCCTGTCTTTCCTCCCTCTTCAGCCATGGTTGTCTGGTGTATGCAGAGTATATGTTAAGCTTGGGATGAGACTTGTGGATTGTTTTATAAGATTCATCTTCGGTTTCTTCAGTTCTTTCCTTCTTTTCATGGCAAAAATGTAACACGGCCATGAAAGCCTATTGTACGCCTCTATTAATGTAACTTCTATTCAGAGGATTATTCCTGCAGTCTCTACAAACTAAAGTAGGCTTGAGGGTTGACATGCTCATTTTTCTTGGGATCAATTACCCTATCATTGCCAAATAAATGGAATCTTAATTCAGCAAATCTGTCACACCATCAAGTGATATGATAAGCTGCTTCATCCTCCTAACCACAGAACCTACAAAGAGACAACTTCGTTAGCCAGAGATTAAACATGTGATGTTTCAGTTTACAGTGCCCAGTATATATTACTGTAATTTTCTTAAGAGAGCTCCCGCTCAAGTTAATTAGTAGGCTGCTTCTCTTTGGACGGTTTCATCCAGGAACAATCTTGAATGATTCTGTTTTTTCCAACACCAGTATTTTTTTACTTCAACACCATATTATCTCCCCAATTATATTATTTATTAGACATAAACTAATACCACCTACGACTTGATGCCTGGTCATGACGTGATAATCATTGTTGGGGCCGGGGTTATTTCAAAATTAAAATACAAACCCTTCCTCGGTGAGGTTCCTCAAAGGTGGAGAAAATTCTAGTGAAATTAATAAACGTTGGGAAAGAGAAAAAAAAAGAAGAATAAAATGAGACGTGTAAAATATTAAAGAAAAAACAAATTCATGCACAAGAAAATATTGAAAAATAGAAATATTTCAATAAATAAAAAATGGAAAATAAAAAATCCCTTTTTGAATGTTTACAGTTTATTGAGATAGAAAAAGATCTAATTATGTACAAAAGTTAAAATAAATATTGGTGTAAAGTTGCGAGAAAAATAAAACATAAACATAATATGCAGAGAAAATAAAACCAAATTACCATTAATTGCAAAATATAAATAAAACCAACTTCTAAAATTATAGTAAACCAAGAGAAAAAAAATGTCTGTGGTAACTGTGAGAGAATCTGAACAAAAATATCCCAAATTGGAGGCTATATTTCCAAAGAGGTTAGTTACCTGAAGTTCAGCTGTCACAGCAGTCGATGGTGGGGGGATCAATATGCATATTGATCCTGATCGATGACTTGCGATGATACAGCTGGGACCTTCAAAATGGCGCAGGTGAGGGGAAAATGAGACAAGAGGAGCCTGGAACTTGGTGAAAATGGTGGGGGTAGACTTCTGCTCCATACGAAAGGTAGCTCCAGACTCACAGGCGCAACAGTATTTTGTGTCTTAATCCCTAAGACAGGGTATTACTGCCGGGTTGGAGCGTATACACAAACGCGATAATACATCGCAAAATAACCTAAAGCTATAAACAATGTACGAATCTGGGACAATTATCCCCTTAGTTTTACAAAAAAAAAATTAAGAAACATTTTATTGTTAACATTAAAAAGGGGTAAATGTGAGAGAAAATAATAATGCAAAAATTAAGAAATAAGCCTATGCGGCGTTAACAATCATAATGGATGATTTAACACTAAGATAGGTAAGGAAGATTTCTTTAGACCCACCATAGGACCCCACAGTAAGCATGAAGAAACCAAAGACAACAGGTTTAGAATAGTGGACTTCACTATGGAAAGGAACATGTCAGTCAGCAGTACCTACTTCCCTCATAGGAATATACACAAGGAGACTTGAATATCTCCAGATGGGCAAACACACAACCAGATTGACTATCACGCAATGGACACAGTGGATGTGAGAAGCTTTCTGTGGTTTAGACCATCATTTGGTTAAGGTGAAACACAGACAAAAAATAGCGTTAAGAACCAAGGGGAGAGCTGAGAAACCTGCACCATGATATGCCGTTGAACATCTTGAAGAAGAAAATGTGAGTCAGAGGTTTGTGTTTGTAAGCAATGTTACATAGAAGCTCACCAATTACCAGGAAATATTGACCATTGACTAAAGGTGGACAAAGATGAAAGAAGCTCTTGTGACCCCAGTGACAGAAGAGCTTGGTGAAGTTCAGAAACCAGCAAGAAATGACTGGTATGATGAGGAATGCAAGACTCAGGTAGATGCAAGGAATGAAGCGAGAAAGAGAATGCTTCAACGGTTTACCAGAGCCTCTGCCCAAGAATTTAAGGGAAAGAGAAAGCACACTTCCCTGTGGACAACCCCCTCCAGTCTTAATCCACATTTCGGTGTATCCAAGTTCTGTTTTCCAACATGCTGCCAACTCATTTGATAACAAGTGGATCTATTTTTCTTATCCTTAAAGTATCCATGAAGCTGACCATGTTTAGCCTGCTGTTCACAGTATTTGTTATTTCTTTAAAATGTCTAACCACCAAGTTTTAATCGAATGGCTAAATTACGAATATTGAACTTTCTGATACACTCATTAATAACCTAAATTTTTCTATGAAATTTAACCGGAACCATTTTGACATATTACAATCAAGTCAGTGGAAATGACAACTAAGAGTTAAAATTCTAAATTCTATTTCAAACCAGAGTATACATAATGGAACTAAGCTACAGTAAACTGAATTAATATTCTCAGAATATGAGCTACACAATATCCTTGCGTAGAGTGATCGATAACTGGATTTTTTTGGTCATAATTCTATAACAACATTATTTTTCATCAAATTTCCTTGTTTCTTCGTTTTATAGCAACACTACTAAATATACCCTATAATGTGAACAATGAATATATTAACAGAAAAAATATATGAAAATGATACTGTGGTAGATAACGTAAGATATCTTATTATAAAATAGAATTTTTATTTTGAGCATTAGACATTCTTGTTTTCGCTTCTAAATACGTTATATATATATTTATTCATTTATTTTTTATATATATATAGACACACACACACACACATCAAATAAGATATTATAATTCATGTTTTTTTTTTATCTTGATAAATTTGAAATTTGGTTCATTCTATTGAAAAAAACTAGTTTCTCGAAAACTGATAGATTTTTTATTGTAAATTTCAGAAAATGTCAATATTATTAGACTTTCTGTTAGAAAAATAATATTTTCATTTTTTTTAATACTTGTTCATGAAACAGGATTCAGAACTTCAACATAAAATTCAGTATTAAATTATTTTATTTTAGGTTATTTTTTCAACGCTTTTGTTGACATATATCAGTTAATTCTTGTCCACGAATTGTTCTTAATTTTCCTTATAGTTCTTCATTCTTATAATTGATAATTTTTTACTGCTCATCCTACCGATTTTTTCTTTCCTTTTTTTTTTTTTTATATAACGTATGGCACAGAATTACTAACCTGGTCATAATAGTTATTATCATTTACCTACGCGTAACAGGTATTGAGAAACATAGACAAATATTAATTGCAATAGACCTCAAGTCATTGGTGGCAATTATTGTTTGTTAATCATTGATGTAGACATCTCAATGAAGGTTTTCAA